CCATCCTAAGGACGATTTTTGAACTCACAACTTGGAGTCAGTCTTTGTGTGAGACTTTTAGTCCCTAAAATGCCATCAGTCGTGAAGATTGGCCACTGGGCTCAGCAGTATCCCTTTGTCCCTGCCCGGCTGCGAGAACCTCAGGTGTTTGCAGGTCGTAGCAATGGTGAACAGCGTCTTAGCAGCCTCCACCAGAAGGGGCGTGGAAGAAGTGCCCGTGGGGTGACTTCGGCGGGTCTGACAGCGCTCCCCCGTTCTGCCGCCTTCCAGATCAGAGGCGGCCGGGTGAGATCGCTTGATTGATTCCAACAGCAGTGGTTTCACAGGCTCACACATAGGTATCCTCTCTCTTAACCCACATCTAGGGGCTTTGCAAAAGGAAAAGAGAAGATGTCAACAACAGAGTGAATTTTACATCTGTTTACTTTTGATGTATTCTTTTTGAGAGCGTTTGGTTCTAAGAACTGCTGTTCTTGACTATCACGCATGTACCTATATGTAAGCTTGGTATGGAGTTTCTCAACCTCAGCACTGTTCACTTTTGGGGTAATTTTTTGCTGGGGGGGGCGGCTAGCCTGTGGACCCAGAATGTTGAGCAGCGCCCCTGGGCTCTACCCACGTGATGCCGGTAGCACCCTCCCCCTCCCACTCACTCGTGACAGTCGCAAATGCCTCCAGACATTGCCATAGGCCCTTGGAGAGAAGGGGAACTTAATCGTCCCCAATGGAGAGCCACCAACTTAGTGTAGGGTCCCTCAGGCACCGGTCTGCACAGTTCTCGGTTTGCGCTTAGCCAGCTTACTGGATGAAGGAAGAGGCCTGGTTGATGACCCTCATCTTCATTTACCTGTAAATCTGGGTGTTGAACCCTGAAAACATTACGTTTGATATACTAACAAAGAGAATAGAAGACACTCCTCTGGAGGAAATCTTGGAGGCTTTGAAGTCGGCACAGATTTCTTAGCTGGGACATGCAGAAAGCACTGAGTTGTATAAAGAGATGGAAAAATTGGACTTCGTGATCATTTAAAACTTTTGCTCATTAAAAGACACTATTAAGAAACTGAATAGACAAGACATGGACTGAGAAAAAGACGTCTCACAAAGGACTTCTATCTGGAATGGTTCAAGAAACCTTACAGTTGTAAGTTGAACAACTTAATTTTAAAAATGGGCACCACCTCCAACAAGCTTTTCCAAAAGTGGTCACACAAATGACCACTAAATGCATGAAAGGATGCTCAACATTGTTTGTCCTTAGGGAAATACAAGTTAAAACCACAATGAAATACCACTGCACATCTACTAGAGTGGCTAAAAGTTTAAAAGATTGACAATTTCAAGTGTTGGCAAAAAATGTGGAGCAACTAAAACTCTCAAGGCTGTGCATGGACAGCCTTTTAGGGAAAGCGTCTGTCAATCCCCTAGAACAGGGGTCCGTATCCCAAGCCTTGGACCAGCGCAGGTCTGTGGTCTGTTAGGAACTGGGCCACGCAGCGGGAGGTGAGTGGAGGGCAAGCTTTGCTTATGTTACCTCCTGAGCTCCGCCTCCCCTCCCCACCCCACCCCACCCCACCTCTCTGTGGAGACATTGTCTTCCATGAAACCAGTCCCTGGTGCCAAAAAAGGTTCGGGACCCTGGCCTAGAATAGCAATTTTCAACCTTTTTCATCTCATGGCACACATACACTAATTACTATGGAAGTACTTACCCTTTTTGCTCCAAAGTAACTTTAAAAAAAAATCAGGTGCCTACGCTTGTATGTGTAAGGATTTCTAGTACCAAGAATTAACCAATCAGATGCAACCTTATTGTGTGATGTGACCAATAAAATGTGACTATTATACGACCCCCTGTATTTATGGTTCAAGACCGGCATTCACACCAGATGGCTATTGTGTTGGCTGTTGTCATTTTTTACTTGATAATCTAAGAGAAAAGAGGTCAGTGCCCCTAACTAAATAGTCAGGTACTGCACATTTTAAAAATTCCTGTGGCACACCAGTTGAAAATTGCTGCCCTGGAAAGTTAAACATTCACTTACCAGCAATTACACAAGGGAAATGAAAATATGTGTTCGTGAACCATCGGTGCAAAAGTCCCTAGCCACTCTTCTATAAAATCCGAAACTGGAAGCTACACACATGTCCACCTACAGGTAGATAAAGTGTAGCTTATCCACACAACAGAACAGCACTCAGTAATGGCAGTAATTTAAAAAATGAACCACGGATGACCACATCGTGGTTAAATAACAAAGCCAATCAGTGGTTGCCCTGGGCAAGGGTAGGGATGACTGCGAAGGGGCTGGAGAGGACTTCGGGGTGATGGAAGTCTATTTTTGTTCTTCTGTGCATCTCCATTATGGCCACGGTAGCACTGGAGTAAATTTTGTCAGAACTCAACAAACTACACACCAAGGATGGCGCTCACTGCGCCCCCTGGGGAGGGCCACCGCTGAGCACACACGCTTGTGTAAACACTTGAGCAGGCTTTCTCAGACCGTTTGCAGTTCTCACGCTTGCCAATCTGCCTGCCAAGATGTTGGGGGGGGGTAGAATCCCAGTCCTCGCCCTCCATTCCATTCTGCCCATAGGGTTTCATATTCAAGCGTGTAGCCCCTACCCCAGGAACTGACCCGTTCACAATGGAGGGTGGGGCTGTAGGCCTGGGTTACCAGTGAGCTCTCGAGAAGACTGGGCACGGCCCCTGCCCCTGAACGCCTGGAGACCAGCAGCGGGAGTGCCACACAGCACCAGCACTGTCATCTGTGCAGGCCAGAGGTGTGGCAGATCTCGGTGGCGGGAAGGATGGGGGGACTTGTCCGAAGGCATCGTTTTTTACTTACATCATGTGTTCATTTGGCTTCCGAGGGGTCGTGGGCAGATGTGCGGGTCGAAAGAACTCCTCAGGTTGCCCTTTAGGTTCTGCAAAGTTCATGAGTGTTAATTATATTCTTTTCGCTTAAGGTCTCCTCCTCTTCCTATTTCCTCTTTTTTTTTTATTATGCCTTTTACACCTTCCTCCTGAGGTCCAGTGTGTTTTTGAAGAATATGCAAGTATTTTCTTTAATTTTCTGGCACAATAAATAGGCAAAGACTCCTGACTTCCTACCTGTATTCCTGTACTTCCTCTTGTTCTGCCCCCCCATCAAACCTCCTGGTGGCTCAGGAAAACTCCGGGTAAGAGTCGCCTGGAGAGGCAGGGACCACACAGTTGCCCGCGGCACTTGCATTCCTAAAGATGGCAAAAACAGCCTTTACTTGCTGAAAGAAATGGGCCAGCCCCCTCGAGGTAGGAAAGGGCCCTTTTCAAAAGGAGAGAGTAGAAGGGAAAGGAGGAAGCCCCCCACGGCACCTCCCGGGGCTCCTTGCCCCCTGAGGCTTGGCTCCTGGGGGTCAGTGTCTTGGCAGCAGGTGCCGGGAGCAGTCAGGAGCCCAGGGGTGGCCGGGTCACTGGGAGCCGTGAATGGCACTTGCAAAGTTCTTCTGTTTGTCCTTCAACTAATACGTATTTTAATATCTGTGGGGAGCAATGACTATTTCAGGAATTTCACCCCAGGAATTGCCCAACAAGTTAATTTACCTGTCTCTCCTACAATGTACTTGTTAAAATAAACTTTCACTCCCTTACAGAGTATAAGGAACCGGGCCTCCTGCAGGCAACACAGAAAGGGGCTCGCAGAGTAAAGTTCCTTTACTTCTTTCGGAGACATTGTCTTCTGGAACCAGCCTCATCTGTATTATTAATCACTCAGGGGCTTTCTGCTGCTTCACATGACTCCTTCGGAATTAAACTGCACATAGAAAGTATGAAAAATGTGCTTTTTGAAGTCATTTTCTAGCATAATACCCCAAATAAAGTGCCGTGGAGCCATTAGTAGTAAATTGAATTTTTGGGGTATGTAATTTGTACAAAAACTGACAAGTGCGAACCCCTCCCCTGTCCCCCCACCGCTTGTCGTCGGGTTTAGCGGACACAGAGGTAATCTGCAAGGACAGGCATTTTGATGTCGGCTTCAATCGCACACTTCATTTATTTGGACAGGGCACAGGCGGGCCTGTGCAGGGACGTCGCCACCATTAGCGCATTTCGCCCCAGGGCAGCTGGGACGCAGGCTGGGGCAGATGTTCCTTTCAGCCTATTCAGTGACCATTCTTGGGGGTTGTTTACTGTTGCCATGGTGTCTTTCATTTCCATAGCAGCGGCGCTGCTGTTTCTCGGAGGAAAATGAATTTAGTTATAAAAGGATAATATTTTTCTCTGTCTCTGTGTAACCTGCCATCTGTCGACCAGTGGATCAGGAAGGACTCGGAAAGCTATTAAGAATTACGGTGATGAAGTGATGAGTATTTTTTTTTTTGGCCCTATATTAAAAACATTGAAAGATGTAGAAGCAAATATTGTGCCTTCAACATCACAACGTTGATTTTTTTATGTATGTTTTAAGTATGTGTTTTAATGCCTTCACCACCTCCACCGCCACTGTGCACACGCACATGCTCGTAAAATGCAATTTATATTCCACTGACAGATGGAAATGACCCAGTGTCTTGTCTGCGTCTCACTCGATGCAGGTGCGTTGAATGCTTTCTCTCCTGGGTGTCGTGCGCTCCCCCAGTTCATTGAAGACTCCCGTGGCTGCACTTCCTGTTGCCGCCCACTCTCCTGCACCTGCTCCCCAGGGGCACAGGCCGGCAGGTGCACCGATCAGCGCACTTTCTGGGACATACCGTGCACATCACGAAATTAGCCCAACGAGAAGAGGCCATGCTCTGTTTGAAAAAGTTAGGGACCCGCCCCTTCAATCTCATTCTAGAACACCTTTCTTCTCCTCATATCCGAGTGGGAAGGATGTCATCTTTGGGATAGTTCATCTGGTTTCTGGACTTTTTTTTTCCTCTGTCGCATTCATGAACATTAACATGCAGGGGGAAGAAGCCAGACATGCACACTGGCCCCGTTGTAAATAATGTTATTTATTGGTTGACTTTTCCAGATCCTGACATTGATGCTGCCAGTGCCATGATGCTTTTGAATTCTCCCCCTGAGATACAAGCAGGTTGTGAGTAGCTATTTCTATAGCCTTCAGCACCACAGTTTGTGAACTTAACCTTCTCATTTCCATACCAGGCCATAGGAAGAACTAATACCGCTCCAGCAGAACTTCCCCTGCTGAGCCCCTTTAAAGGGACCTCAGTGCACGATTCCATGCATAAGCCTCCAGACGTGCAGCCGTGCACGGGCGTGAATGAATGAACACTTAGGTGTGCTTGCAAGATGACAGTGTTGTAATGTAATTTCAGGGCTTAAGACTTGGGGGGAAGGGGAGCAGACCCCGTAATGACTCCCCTTGGAGGGACCTTCCTTGCTCCTGCAGGAGTTGCCTTTGTGAGTTTGTAGTTTCTGCAAGAAGACACGACAGGGGGCCAGCCTAACAGTCTTGGAGCGAACACTGCCCATTTTTAGAAATTTCTTTCCCTTTTGGGATCTCATTAATCGCAGGCTGGCTCTGTATCACTGGAGAGGAGGGGAAGTCTGGCTAAGGTGGGTGCTGTGCAGGGGCTTGGAATAGCCTTGAAATAGACCCCCACGGTGCCCCCGGTGTCCCCCCACCAGCTAAGCGGGACTCCTTCAGCACCTGCTGTTGGCTGTTGAGCAAGGTCAAGCTTGACCCAACTCTTTTCCTTCCTTGAACTTTTCTGTCCACCACCTAATGTTTCCTTTCCTCACGTCTAGAGCTAGACTACATAGTTTTTAGAAAGCTCTTCTGACCAAGTGATGGAAAGTGACCTTACATGGAGTAGATGTCTGTCCCCTCTTCCTCCTGACTGGAGATTACTGACTCTGCCCACATCCGCTCCCCGTTGCCCCGTCCAGCAGCCAGCCAGCTCGTCCCCTGGGTCTGCTCAGCTCGTCCACGGGACCTTGCTGTGTCGCAGCCTCCTGGTGAGGAAGCGCACAGGCATGGAGGGGACAAAGTGAAGCATAGGCCCCAAGTGACAGCAGGGGCTGGTGTCCCCCTGGCTCGTTCTTATGGCTGAGCCTTCACCTCTTTGGGGGTCCTGGCTCTCGAAGGACTGCAGGGCCTCCTGAGCAAGGGGAACCCCCCCTTTCTGGAGTCGATGGTGCTCCCCCAGAAGAGCACCCAGCCTCAGACTCCCAGCAGGTTGTCTCTCGTCTGCAGTGGACTGGTGTGGCGTCCTGGCACGCCCTGCCCTGCCCTGCGCTTGCCTCGGCCTGCCTTCCAACAGCTTTGGGAAATTTGGCTCCATCTTTTCTTACTTGTTCCTTTCTTTTAAAAAAAAAAAAAAAGACCTAAAAGATAGAGCCAAGCATTCTCAGGCAGGACTGTCCCTCCGGCAAGTGCTGCCATTACGGACTCCTAGAGGCCCAGAACTCTCGGTCTCTCCGTGCTGGTCTGAGACCGCGAGCTCCTCCACGGCAGGCTCGCGGCACCTCTGAGGAGCCACCGCTGCCCAGGAGGCGTGCAGCAGGCCCGGTCCCCTAACCAGCAGTTCACCCGCAGTGTGGTGGTCAGTGACGTGTGAAGTTACGGAAGAATATTTTCTAAAAACTGCATTCTCAGACGACATTGCAGGAAGAGTACAGACCGTATTATCATCCAGTTACAGTCTGAAATGGCTCCAAAATCCAGTTGCGAGAGTCCACACCGGGGGGGGGGCATGCTGAGGTATCAGAGCTGTGTAAGACTCGCCTCTTCCTCAGCATCCGACCACTGTACACAGGGATCATTGGTTTAAGCAAAAGCACTTTGAATGCACTGGACTCACGGAGGTAAGAGGGGAAAGGCAAGGGGACCGAGCCATTCACAGATGCTTAGCAACTTCCGTAAGGTCAAAGTCGCTGGATGCTTGGCCACAGGTAGAACAGAAAAAGCGTGTTTCCCGATCAGCTGACAAGTTCATGGTTTTTAGTGCTCTCGTGACTGAACAAACTCCTCCGCTCTGCCTCACTGTCACACTCAAACTGTAAGTAAGTATTTTTCAGGGCAGCCACAGTCAAGTGTACTTTGAAATTTGCCAAATTTCTGTTTTCAAAGCCCAGTGTTCACGTGTTGAAGCTGGAGGCTCATTTTTTGGAGACTTTCCTCCCCCCACTCTCAGCACCGTGAGAGCCCAGCTCGAAGGCCCCACACCCAGGGGGCTGCTGGTGAGGCAGGTGCAGGGACGCCCACAGACATCCTGGAAGGAGCAGCAGAGAAGCAAATTGAAAGGCTAGGGAGGGGGGGTGACACCACCTCCATGTTCACTGTCCCCTCTGGCGACAAGCCCCAGTAAAGCGCCCTGGAGGTCAAGGTAGAGCATGGTCAGTGGGCTGTGGCGGCCCTGGAGGTTAGAGCTCTGAGCGCCTGCTTCACGAACTTGGGAAGCCAAGCTGGCAGCCGCTCCCCAGCCTCCCAGTGAACACAGTCCCAGGTGTCGATGTGTTCACACTCCGCTCCTGCTTTGCACTTCCCTGCTCCCCGCTTCCTTTGCCTTTTTTTTTTTTTTTCATGTCACGCTGCCTAAGGCTTCTCAGCCTGCGGTTGGGTGCAGGACCTTGCCTCCCGAAGGGAGAAGCTGTAGAGACATAATGATGTCTCTAAATGAGGACGCCTCCATCCCCTGCTCAGCCAGCTTTGCCCAAGGCCCAGAAAGAGTGGGAGGGGGTCCTCAGCAGAATGGTTCAAAGGCAGCAGACCCCCAGCCCCCCCGACGGGGTGTGGGCAGCCTGCCTTGTGGTGTTGCCGTGCGTGTGCCCATCACCCAGGCTCGAGTCCTGATGCTGCCCACGTTGGGGGGGGTGTGGGCTCCTGTCTGCACACCTCCTGCCTGTGTTCTCCCTCGGGCTGGTCTGGGGGCACCGCCGTTAAAAGAGCCTCCTGGGTGCTACTGTGTCCAGCCTCTTGTGGTCACCAGCAAGGCTGTCGGACGCTCCTGTTTGAACCGGGGCCACCAGCCTAATCAGTCTGCCACTGTTTCTCCCAACTGTAAGGGGATGGCCCGGGTGGCTTGAAAAGCTTTTCCTTTGTCATCGCCCTTCATAGCCACCCCACTTCAGGTCCCCAGACAGCAGCCACTTAGGTCTTTTCCTCTCATCCTGCCCTTGCTCGGCATCTTCAAAGCTAGCTCGGCCAGCAGACTGGCCACCGTCCGGGGCCTGAGCTGAACAGGTCATGCAAAGGAAGTGACTCAAGGAGCTTGTGAGAACCCAGTGAGCCAAGCCCCTTGATCTCTGGCAAGCCCCCCTCCGTCCCCAGGGAGCTCAGCGCGCCATGTGTTACTGGAGACCCATGGCCTCTCACTGCAGCCGATGCTTCCCTCTCAGCGAAGCAGCCGTGTGTGTCTGAAAAAACCTCAGGCTCCTCCAGTGTTCTGGCGTGTGCTGTGCCCACTGGCGGCACCACTGGTGGCATTGTCTTCTCCAGACTTCGCCAGTTTGCAGTGTGAAGAACGTTCTACCTAAGTGCCGTGGAGTCTCCTGTGCTTGACAGGACACTGCTTCCAGGAAAACCAGGGCAGAGCATGGCTGCTTCAACAGCTCTTAGGTGTAGGTTATACTTGCAGTCAAATTCGCCCCCCTCCAAGTCCCCACCCCAAAGTGGCTGTGCAGACTAATTTAAGCCTCTACAGTCTACTTAAGTACCAGCTTTGCAGTCCCCTTTGACAAGCCCTGTGAGTCATCTTGAACCCCAGTGGAGGAACCGCTTAGGAGCCAGGAGAAGTCAGATCACCATTACTCATCTTCAAAGGCTTATATAATCCCTGGTTGGAGTGTTCCCAGGGAGGACTCCAGATAAACAAAACGACAAAATGGGTGCCTTCTGTGCCCTGACTGGCACTGGGGACAGTTTCAGACACGCCAGGCTTCGGGGAAGAGCGACAACCAGCAAGGCGGCTCCCCTCTTGCAGGCGCTTCCCCAGCAGCCTTCCAAGTCAGCAGGTGGAGGGACAGGAAGGATTGTGTCATATCACCTGGCTGCTCGGCTTCTGGCCTCTGGTAGGTGAGCCAGGGCTGCCCTCCAAAGGCAGCGGTAGGAGCTCCGAGGTTAATTTTAGAAGCTGTGAAAAGCAAGGAAGCCAAGCATCAGGGGGGGAAGCTGGGGTGGGCAAGCACGGGTGGCGGGGGGCACAGCGCGGAGGGAGGTTCGTCTTGTACCACAGACTTTTTTTAGGTCCTTGAGATGATCACATTCAGATCACAGGGAGCAGTGCTGCGTGATTCGACTCTTTTGGGTGTGAGTGTTGCTTTCTTGCTGGTTAAAAATAAGTCGGTTTTGAGTCAGTCCATTAAGAGAAAGGGGTTGATCCGTTCCGCCGCTGGTGTCCATGGCACCTGGTTCCAGCAAGTTGAGGGTCTCAGGTGTGTGTCTTCTCGCTTGTCAACACCAAATGATACAACAAAAGGGATGGTCCTGGAGGCCTGTGCCTTTTTTAGTGGGAGCCACAGACCCCAGCTACCAGTTGATTTTTAAATGTCCAGTGTCTCATTACATCTCTTCTCCAGCTGGAGCCTAAGTGTAATTTAGTGCATTGGGTGGTGTGCCCTGGTTCTTAAGCAGCGGTCCTCAACCTTTGGCAGCAGGGACCAGTTTAAGACAGTTTTTCCACGGACAAGAGGGGAAGGCAGGCGGCAGAGCCGAGGTGGTAATTCGAGGGAAGCTTTGCTCACTTAGCTGGCCCTCCACTCACTTCCTGCTGTGCAGCCCAGTTCCTAACAGCACAGACCAGTCCTGGTCCCTGTCCCAGGGGTTGGGGTCCCCTGTTGTAAATGGCTTGGGCTTTCAGTGTTCTGATAGACTTTGAGGAAAATACGGAATACAAGGAATGGAAAGATAGACGTGCTAATTGAGAAAGCCAAGGGATGGACCTCATTTTCTCTGTGGATCTCAGAATCAAAAAGGGGGGATGCACAGACCTCAGAGTGCCTTTCTCAGCCATTGCCGACTACTGGGGGTTCGTCTTCAGAAGCCTTGTTCCCAACCGTCGAGGATGGAGACAGAAAGGAGAAAGGGGGAGCCCTTCAGGGTCACCGCTGGTTTCTGGCAGTCAGGGAGCAAAGAGGAGCTCACCCTCCAGGACGCACACCACCAGCCAGAAGGACTGAGAAATGCCGGCGTTGGCGGAGGCGGCCAGATCGTTGCCGCTCCTTTGAGAGCGAGCTCCAGGATTCAGAAGCAGAGCCTATTTCCCTGCCAGGAGTCTTGTGAGGTTCAGGAAATAGCTCAGGGAAAGCCTTTTAATGCTGCGGGGTAGCTCTGTCCCTGAGATTCTCTTTGAAGTGAATGCAGTTCATTAATCAGGATGATGTTTTAATGGGTGAATGCAGAGAGGGGATAACTACAAAAAGCACCAGAGGCTGGAAGCATTTCCCTGCGCCCTGACCTCACTCGACTCTGTGCTCGGCAGATAATTAACAAGAGGATGCTATCGAGGTGAGGCGGGAGGGTGGACGTGGGACGGCGGTGACGATGAGCTTACGTGATGGGCCAGCCTCTGCGCTACGCAATTTCTGTAATCTGTCTCGTTTAATCCTCAAAACTGTCCCGTGAGGCATGTTTATGCGAGGTTCCCAGGTGGGGGAACAGAGGCTCAGAATGGTTACAGCATTTGTCCAAAGCCACTGCCCTGGTGGTGGAGCAAGACTTTGGGTGGAGGCCGTGTTGCCTCGGGTGTCTCCTCATAACAGTGGCGGATACTTCTTCCTTGAAGGTTGAAATGAGACTGGCGTCAAAGGAACAAGGTCTCCTGTCGGTGCTGGGGGAGGGCTGGCTTCCTCATGTCCCTTCCTGTTGGGCCTGCTCCTGGTGCTTCAAGGTTCTGGGCGTGGGGCCCTGTCCACGGGGCCGCTTTCTCTTGCGACTGTCAGGTGATTCACTGGTTATACAGAGTCCCTGTGCTGGGACTCTGACTGCTCTCGCGTGTCCCAGAGCTCCCTGGTCCCACCCCAGCGTGACTGACAGGTTACCGACCGGGGAACAGAAGCCACATGACAGTGGCTGTTGTTCTTTTGGCAACTTTGTGACCAGGAAGATGGCCAAATCCTTCCAGCATAGTCTGGCTTTGTTCTCATTTTGTTCTGAATGGGCTTTCGGCTCACCTGGAATGGAGAGAGCCTGGGCTGCCTCGGGCTCACTCCTTGGATGTGGTGCTGCTGATGACAATAACACAGATAACTAACGTATAATTTTCTAAATAATAGTGTCTTTATTAACTCAGTGAGGTCTCCAAACACTCTGGGAGATAAATACCATTTTTGGCCCCCTTCTTACTTAAGTAGCTTTTTCAGGGGACACAGGCGATAAATGACAGAGACGGGACGCAGACCCAGCTCGTCCGACACCAGACTCTGGCTCTGAGCCACTGTGTTTAATTAACGTCACGTTCCCCCTCAGAAAGCTTTAGTGGTTTTCTCAAGATCCATGGGGTAAAATCCAAATGCATCTCCCTCCCGCCAGAACTGTATGCTTCAGCAGAATTAGTTTTTAGTTCCTGTGTATGGTGTGCTTTTCGTCACTTCAAGCCTCGTGTTCGTTGTTCGTCTGCCTCCAGGAAGTCTTCCCAGAGACCCCTGACTTTGGGCTGGGTGTCTCCATCCCTCACACACGTAGGCGTCCTGCCTCAGCCCTCACCTTCCTATACTTTCACTGCTTCTCATCCTCTTTCCGTCCCACTGACCTGTGCTGGCCCTGTGGCCCCTTCACCTGATATGTAGGCAGGAACTTGTAAAAGACTTCATCCATTAGTTGATGTGAGCTGTATATGGGACGGTCATAATTTTTACTGCCAAGATTGATGAGTGTGGTATGGGTTTTAAATATTTATTTACCAGGTGGTCTGCTCTATCCACTTCGCTTTCTGCTCCTGGCGGGATCCCAGTGGCTGATACAGTAGGCAGCAGCGTGAGCGTCGGACTGAACGTGGTTGTCTGCCGTTTGCGGAGAGGACCACACAGCAGAACAGTTGAAAACCCTTTCCCTCCACCCCTAAAACCAATAGAAAGCCCGTTCTTTCAGACAACACACACCTGTGGGCAGGCCCCAGCGTTCTGCTGGGTTTTGCATGTCTTTCCTTGAGAATTCTTGATATTTTCTTCTCAATGTTTTATGACGTTAGTTCTTATATTTAGGTTTATGACCCAATTCTAATTAACTTTCATATATGGTATGAGGTTAGGAACAAGGTTCTTCCCTCACCCCCAACAGGACTGTCAATCATTCTAATTCTCCTTTTCCCCATGGTGTTTTCTTGATACTTTTGTCAACAACTACATGTTGACCACATGTGTGGGGATCTAGGTTTTCCATCCATCCCTATGTCAGTACTTCCCTGCCTTGTAGCTTTACAAGAGGTCTTGAAACCAGATTGTGTGAATCAGGTAATAGACACGTTAGAGGGTCTTTCTTATGGGGAAAGAGCAAACTAAGCAAAATATGCTAAGTATGCTAATCAAGTAAGCAAAGTATGCTAATCAGCTGCAATGTCATCACGTTATAACAGGTCTCATGCTTTTAAGATACTTGGCGAGCTCTGATCAGTGTAGCTTAGTGGATTGAGCATGAGCTGCGAACCAAAGGGTCGCTGGTTCAATTCCCAGTCAGGGCACATGCCTGGGTTGCAGGCCAGGTCCCCAGTGGGGCCCACATGAGAAGTAACCACACATTGATTTTTCTCTCCCTCTTCCTCCCTTCCCGTTTCTCTAAAATAAAATAATAAAATCTTTAAAAGAAAATAAAAGATACTCGGTGAGTGTCCTGCCTTTGGTTATCTATTATTATCTGAAATCAGGCTAATAGTAAGAGGTGGGCAGGAATGTCTGATTCCTAGTTAAGCCCACTCACAACTAAATCTGGTAAGAAACAGCAGTAATAGTACTGACTTCAGGCACTAGTTTCAATTTTATACCCCGCCCCCAGTTTTTGTAAAAGCTGGTAACAGGAGCCTTCTGCCAACCCGTAACCCAAGTGGCAAAAATGCTAGCAGACACCCCAGAACACCCCGCAATCCGCCTATAACGTTACCTGTATCAAGGGTGGACATCATCCTGCATGATGAAAGGTTTGGAATATTTATGCACACATTCTCTCAGAGACCTAAAATTTGTCCCAGTAAAAAGTTGTATGTGTTTTGTAGAAAGTATTCGTCCTATATAAGTCATATTGGCTTTAAAAATTTAATATCCAAAGTAGTTTCCATTTTGGAATATATGATTTTCGAACTTTTTGGGGGGTGCAGTCCTTGAAAAAGCACAGTTTATTCACCTTGTTTCTGTGTGGAACCGTGCCGGGGTCTACAGGAACACAGCCAGAGCTCGGGGACGCTGGGGCGCTGGTGGCGAAGGGGTCTGAGTGAGCACTGCTCAGGGCGTGGAGAAGAGATTGGGGGGGTGCACAAAGTCCCTCAAGAAGAACGGAAATTAAATCCCAGGGGCACCAGCGTTCTCACGCCCGGCCCCCCAGACACACGGAGGGGTGCTGGAAGTGCGGTCAGAATATTTATCTGACCCACAAGAAACCGCTTCTGGGCCGGGGGGACAAGGAAAGTCCACTACCAGAGATTCCCTGGGGTTGCCCTGTTGTGTAGACCCTCGGACAAACGCAGTGGGTGTGAAGCCACTGTGAGCTGGTAGGAGAATGGACAGGATCTGGTGGCCACTGACGAGGATGGCGTAGGGTTGGGTGGGTTGGTTAGAGAAGGTGGAATGTCGAGGGCACCCAGGAAATTGGCCTGGGGAGAAGCTTCAGGAAGGAGCAAGTCGGGCGTCCGGAGTGGGCCTCGGCGACCCGGAGGCACAAGCCAGGGCCTTGCTGCCCACCCTTCCAGCCCAGGGACACCACCGCACCGTCCTCTGGCAGCAGAGATACGGGGAGGGTGAGCCGTGCCATGAGCGCTGAGGTGCCACGTGGTGTGTAAAGCCTGCCGTGCTGTCGTTTCTGGCTGTCTTTTCCTGTTGCTGGACTGAGGACAGGTGGAAGGGCGCTCCCCACCTCTGACCGTGACTGGAGAAGCATGAGGCAGTGCTTCCGTTCGGCACTGGCCCTGCTGGCCCCGAGTCCTCGAGATCTTGATAGGGCCTGACGGGTGACAGAGCTCCTGTCCATTCGGTCAATGCAAGGAAACAGTGTTTGAAGCGGTTGTAAGCTGCGCGTCTGGCCTGGCCGGCCGAACCCCCTTGCTTGAGGAGCGGTGTCTTTGCGTCTTTCTGTCTGTCTGTCCGCTCTCGGCGGCGCCGGCTCTGTCTCCATGTGCGTGTGTCTCTGCCTCCGCTTGCTCTCCGGGCCTTTGACTAGCTCGCCGTCCTTTTTCTCTTTCTCTCTCCATCCAGACCTTCCGGCTCAGAATGGAGGAAATCTTCACAGTGAATTCACGTGCGGTGTCTTTTTCCTTTTTCTTTTGCAGTTCCCCCAGGAGTGATACAAAACGGAGCGCGGGCTCTGAGCCGAGGGCTGTTCCCCGGAGTCCGGCCACTGCCCATCACTCCCATCGGGATGGCGGCCGCCGTGAGGTAAGGGAGGCGCGCTGGCCAGGCCCGCCCGGGGGATGGAGAGGGCATCGTGTGTCCCCGGGGGCCACTTGACAGGCTGGGGAGACCTGGGCTCTGAGCAGTGAACAGGATAAACCTGGTTTGGACGCTTGAAAATCAAAGTAACGCCCAGGGACCCCAGTCTAAATGCCGGCTCCTCCTTCTCAGACCATCCAGTTATCCTGGTCTCCCTGCGATGAGGAGATGAAGGCAAATCACATTCAGTTTTTTGCTTGTATTTGTAATTCTGAGAAAGCACGGTGAGGTGGGTAGAGGGAAATGGTGAGCACGTTGTTCATTGGACTCTGGACCGAGGGGCCTGGCTGTAGACACAGGCCTGTCCCTTCCCGGTCTGCTGGCTTTGGGTGGACGTCTGATCTCTCTGCGCCTCAGTTTCCTCCTCCAAGAAGCTCCTCTGCCTCCTGCGAGGGGCGGCGGTGAAAATCAGATGCAACGTCGTGGTCGAAATGGGCTTTGGTACCAGGCCTGCAAATAGGAGGGGGCGTCGTTTCCCTGCTTCTGAGAACCAGGTCAGCCACCAAACCAAGAACTCTTCCTTGGGAGGGCGCTCTCCTCCATCCCCTCCCTCCACCGCCAGCCCGGACTGGTCCCCCACCCACCTGAGAACCTTCCCGTGCACGTGCACCCGTGTGGGTGCCTGCTCCCGTTTGCTGTGTCTCCCTCCACCCACCCCCACCCGCCACTGCCAAGCCAAGCTCCTAACAGGTGTCTCTCCAGCCACCTGCAGAGCCTTCCACGCCTCCCACCTGGTCACCCAGACGTCCTCCCGTCCCCTGGTACCAAATGTGGAGCCAGTGTTGGCCCGTCCTGTTCCACCAGTGTCCTCTGTTCGAACGTCCCTCCGCCTTCTCGCACGGGCAGCCGGCCTTCGAGGCCTATCAGAGACCTTTTCCCCACACGGCCTCTGACCCGCCGTCACGCCCGCGCTCCTTTCCTTGGACCCGTGCACCTGGGCCCCGGTCGTGTCCCTCTAATGAGGGACCCTGCGTGGTAGAAGCTCCCTGTCTCCCTCGTCCTGGGTGGTCTGCTTGCTGAGGACGGGGCGGGGTCTCCCTCACCGGACGGACGCCTCGTGGCTCCGCACGGGCCTGGGCCGCCTGCCTGCACAGCGTCGTCGCCTTTTCCCAGCACTTGTGGGTTAAGTTCTCACCCACAGGCCGTTTTGTTTTCCTAGTGTTCCAGGTCCCAAGGGAAACCGACCCAGGGAGCCCCTTCAGGTGGGGCCCCAGGGAGACGCGGGGTCCGGCTCCCTCACGGAGTCAGCCGCCTGGAGCTCCTCCTCTCGCTTGTGTCTTTCTCCAGCAAACCAGCCACCTCTTGCCAGGATCGAAGTCACTTGATCTCCAGGGCAGATGCTGGTGTCTGGAACCTCCTAAGGAGGGAACCTGGAAGGAATTAGACTAGGATTTCTGCTAACCTGACATGGTGACACTTTCCAAAAACGCACGAAAAGGGCCTTTTTGTGCAGTACCTTCCCTCGTTGTTCTTAGATCAGTGCTTCTCGGGCCCGTAAGTGGTAAGCCCTTTCATGAAGACAGAATACCAACACTGTGTCTCGCAGTGCAAGAGAGGCATCTTCTTTTCCACTTGTAAAATCTTCTCTGCCTCACCTGTCGGTGGACCTGATGGGCTGGGAGGGCCTTGAGCCTGTAGACTGTGTGCCTGAAGGGCAACGGCGTTTCCGTGAGCAGATGCTAAGCACAGACTTCCAGGTTGTCGTCTGGAGCTCCTTTGGGTGTCCTCTCGTCCCTGTGGGTCCAGCCATCCCCAGGGACGGACATGAGAGAGCCAGGCAGGGGTGGGGGGACAATCCTAATTTAAATTATTACCCTCCTACCGTATGTTATTGCCAATTTTACTGACTAATACCCTCAAGAGGCATATTTAAAGCACAGATTTTCTATTTGTGGTGAGAAGATAACAAAGGACTACAGTGAAAGAGGGAAGCCTTGTTTGTGGCTAAAAATCCAGCAGTGCCTCGCTCCGGCCCCTCCCACAGTCAGAGACCACAGAACAGCTTTCAGGTCCAGTCCAGAGACAGAAAACACAGTAGGTGATGGGGGTGCACACAGTGAGACTTCAGTGTAAAGAACCACTGACCAGGGAGAAGGTGTTAGCTGAGTAACCAGCAGCATAAAAGGAGAAGTCAGGGTATCTGGGAGCGAGCCCATGCAGGAAGTCCATGCAGGAAGCCCCCCAGGGCTGGGGAAGCAGGGAAGTGGTTGGGTGGTGGTCTCCCTGAGCTGGAACTCGGACCTCGGGGCAGGCCCCGCCCAGCTGAGGCCGGCATCTCTGTGCTCACAGCAGGGACGTTGGGAGGACCAGAAGGGTCTCTGAGGACAAGAAGGCTCCTGATGACATATGTGCCTCTGAGAGAACAGGAAGAAATTGGGTCTCCGAGTGCAGGAAGAACCACAGAGTAGGTTCAGCAGCTGCCACAGGAACGAACCGCCGCCACAGGAGGAGACGCACCGGAGGGAGCGTGGCCCTCCTTCCTCCTCCCGCTCCGCAGTCTCTCTGGGCACCTGTCGTCCCAGCCCAACAGGCAGCCAGGTGGGGCAGCTGAGATGCGGCTTGCACAGCCCCAGCCCGGCCCCTTCGTAGGAAACCCTGTGGAAGGGTGGGTTTGGGGCTGAGTGACGGTAGTGTCTTGGTGGCACCGTCTGCCACTGACTCAAAGCCTGCCTGCCACTGAAGCTCGAGTAGCCTGAGAACGATCTTCCTGGGATCATAGGAGTTTGGAGCAGAATCATTTCAACCAAGTTTGCTGAAACGAGACAGGTCCCCTTTGGAATAGAGCCAGCCAGTTTAAGAAAGCAGCCATGCATTTCCAGCTCACAGTCCAAAGGCTGCATCTCCCAGCCCAGTTTGATGAGAAATTGGGCAGAGATGTGTTGCAAGCTCTGTAAGGTCAGCGACCCTTAGTGTTAATGCTTTTGCCTTCGTTGTGTCTCCAGTGCCTGGCAAATGGTAGGTACGGAGATGCTTTTAGAAAACAGTGAACATAAACCCAGCCACAGAGCTATTTGCAGAATCAGTAAGTGTGTATCATTAAGATGTGTTTGGGGGAGAAAATCTTACTTTGCTCTTTCACATTCATGGCCATTGAAATGTCTTTTTAGTTGGGTCACGTGTCAGTTGACCCAAATTCAGCCAAGGTTAAAAGGAACACAGTCTCACATAGACTAAAACAATAGCAAATGTCCTCGGCCAGACCACATGAGGTGGCCCAGGGTGCCTGGGGGTGTGCAGATGTTCATGGTGGCCATCCCTGTCAGTTCAGCTGGGGCCAGAAGGAGGCCCAGAGAGTCACTGCACCCACAAAGGACCAATTTCCTACTCTGCGTCTTGTGACACGTTTTCTGTGTGAGTCTAAGCAACTTCTCCTTAAGTGAAAATATTTGTCTTTCCAGGATTTTTTTTTCCCTCTACTGAGTGGCAAAGGCCATGTTTGTTTGTCTTAACTCTGAAGCCATTATTGACACAGATGAAGTGTTACTTTTATTAGCTGATCATTACACAGCTTGTATTTGCTGGGTTCCTTTGCATATAATTATGATGGGAAATCTCCTTGTAAGAGTATCTGTCAATAGTGTAATTGACTTTACAGTGTTGACTTTTTACTCAATAACCTCAGAGATTGGCCCATCCTTACATGTTGGAAACCTGCTTATTTTTAAATCTGCCTGGGTGTAGAGTGCGCAAGACACTCTCCTCAAAATAACCACTCACGTGCCCAAGTGCTATGCCTGTGTCTCTGGCCCTTTTCCAGTGAAACTTCTTACAGAGGATGCATAGACTGGAACAAACAACCAGAGCCCTAGAACTGCTCTGGTCCTCTTGGGAAATGGGAGCCCCACGCTTCTTACATTCCTGGCATCTGGGCTGCCTCTCGGGTAGGGGCCCTGGACCTGGGCCACCTTGCTTTCAACAGTTAGAGGTCTTTTTGACCCCCAAGTGACCACTCAGGTGGCAGGGAAGAGTTAAATGCCCAGGGCCTGCCAAGGAATTGGAGAGAACTGTGGGAACAGGGTTCTTTCTATGACAACAGAGCCCAGAAATCACACACACAAGTGTGGGAACTGAGTTCCCTGGGTTTGTGTCCTGATGGGCAAGTTGACCTGGAAAGATCAGCCTCACAGATTTGTTAAGATTAAGTGATGTTCCCAGCACATAGTAGGTTTATGTAGGTGTTTGATAAATAAGGTGGAAGAACAACCCCATTCAGAAATGGGCAAAGATCTTGAATAGACTATTTCTCCAAAAAAAAGGCATACAAATGGTCAGTGAGTGAGCACATGAAAAGATGCTCACAACCTCTCTCATCATTAGGGAAATGCACACCAGACCTACAGCAAGACACCACCTCGTACCCACTAGGATGGCTCCTATCAGAAAATAACGCGTGTTGGTGAGGATGTAGAACAGGTGCGGCCCTCTATGGGGAATGGTGTGGAAGTTGCTCAAAAAATTAAAAATAGAATTACCACATGGTCCAGCAATTCCACTTCTGGGTGTATACCCAAAAGAATTGAAAGCAGGGTCTCCCGGAGATGTTTGTGTGTCCATGTTCATGGCGGCATTATTCACGACCCAAGCACCCCTCAGCAGGTGGATGAAGAAGCAAAATGTGGTATGTGCGCGCATGCGCAATATTACTCAGCCTTAAGAAGAAAGGAAGTTCTAACATATGCTAAGTAGGGATGGGCCTTGAGGACATTATATTGAATAAAATAAGCCGGTCGCAGCAGGACAAATACTGTAAGAGAAGTCAGACTCACAGACAGAAAGCAGAGTGGCGGTTGCCAGGGGCTGGGAGGAGAGGTGGGGAGGGAGTGTTTCAATGGGTATGGAGTTTCCGTCTGACACGATGCAGAGCTCTGGAGGTGGCCGGTGCTGATGGCAGCATGGTATTAGGAATTACTAAAGGACAGTGAGTAACGGGGAGGGCTTTGTGCATT